AACAGTAGACAAGTATTTATTCCAAGAAAGTCACAAAAAGACATCTTATCAAAAAGTGTTTAATTGAACTTAACTGACAGCTTTCTAAGGAAGTCTTCATTGGGGACGAGAACAAATGGACAACATACAAACAACAGAGGAAGAGCAAATTCTGCTGATCATAGCGACTATACAGTGAAATCTTTGAGCCTAATTTACAGCAGTGCTCTGAAAGAAGGGGCAGAGAGAAAAATGAGGTGGTTAAAGACCAAATGATGTTTTGCCTGATCAGATGGAAAAGATGGGTTAGGAGAATGACCATTCCTCCTTCACCTCCTCCTTTGCTCCATTTATTCTGAAGTGATGGTGAGGGTGAATGACAGCAGGGTGGAGGAGAATGGAGACTGATGGAGAGGAGAGTGACAGGTCCATCTGTCACTCAGCCACTTTCTGGTTTTCTTGGTCTCTCGTTCATTTTCTCCCTTTCTGGTCAGCATGGAGACAAATGAAGGGATGAAAGATGGGAAGTGGTCATCGCTACTCCATGGCTTCCTGATTCTCTTGGTCTGCGCTGATCTCCTCGCTGGCTTCTTTGCCCTCCTTGCTCCTCTTGCTCTTCTTGTGTTTGTGCCGTCTGTGGCTGTCCCCCTCCTCGCTGTCGTGCCTCCTCCTGCTACTGCTGCTAATGAAAGGTGAAGAGGACAGGAGAGAGAAAAAATGATCGGAAGAGAAGGGCAGGTGTAAGGAGATGGGAAGGAAGAGGAGGTGAAAAAGAGACACGGACAAAAAAAATGTTGAGATCAATACAGATGAAAGGTGAGAAGAAGAGAAATAGAGAAGAGAGGGCAAAGACAAAGGAGAACGAAGAGAGGAACCGTGGGTTAGACAGGGCGGAGAGGTGGAAAGAAAATAAAGTATTAAAAACCTTCATATTTTCAGGGTTTGTCAGTTGAGCAATTTTGTTCCTCTGATATTTCGATCCTCATATCACACATATGACATTTTTAATGACGTCAGCAAATTGTCTGAAAATTCTTGGGGGGGATTGTTGTTGCTGTAAACTGTGACTTCAGTTTACAGCTGACTTTTTAATTGTTTAAAAACACTGAATCTCAACGTTTTAGAAGGACAGATCTCGATAAAACTAACACTTCGTGAGCTACTTCTTTTAGTTTAAACTCTACTTTCATATGGAACAACTGAAAATTCGTAAAAGCTAAAATATTTCTGTTTAACTCACATGTTTACATTTCATTTCACAGCATAAGCTTAGCTCTAGAACACCAACGCTACGTGATTAAAAGTCCAATCATCTTGGAACCCTGTGTGTGTTGTCTACGCAATAACAGCCAATATTTTAGGGCTTCTGGTTTAGTTGGTGTGTATCAGGACTAATACTTCCTGTTCCTCCCAGTGATCAGTGTTTAAGGATACAGATATTATTCATTAGTTCTAAAAATAAAAAATTGCAATAGAGTTTATTTAATGCAATCCCTTTTTTGCCTGCTCATATATGATTGCCCTGAACAGGAAACCACAGAACCTCCAGAATCAAAATTTGTTGTCTGCAGAAATGCATGAATATTTACATAAAGTATCCATTTATAGTATTCACAGGAGTTAAACTAAGCCCAATAAATAAAACAGAGAGCAACTTTCATCAGCGTTAACTATGTGACAGGCTTTCACTTTTAAAAGATCAGAAAACTAACCAAATAAATAAAATGTTCCAGTTTGGCAAATAAACTAGTTACACAACAGGGGTGAAAGAAAAACTGTGTGTTCATTTACCTGCGTGAGGATTTGTGGCGCCCCTCTTCTTTCTCTCTGTGCCGCCTCTCTCTGTGTCTTTCCTCTTTCTCCCGGCTTGCACGGTCACGGTGGCGTTCTGCGTAACCACGCTCTTGATAATCACGGTACCGATACCGCTCCTCGTCGCTGTAGAAGACGAAAAGGAGAATTTACTTCATTTACATATAAAACAACTCAGTCTCTGTTTAAAGCAGCGTCTTAACATCGATTGTTCACTTTTCTTTTATTACTCTTAATTTGCTCGCGGTAACATTTGTGATGAGTTTGACAACCGCGTGACGACTATATGTATGATCACTGATACACCAATACCCACGAACAGCTGAAAAGAAACTGCTCAAATTATTTGTTTATCCCTTTCTGTGGCTTTACAGATGCCATTCAAATCCCCCAGCAGCCCATTCACTACTCTGTTTTTGTCCCGCTGGTGTACCTGGTGTAGCTCATAGCTGAAGGGCTGTGCTCCCTCTCTCGTTCCCGCTCATGTGTCCTCTCTCTGGGTCTTTCTCTGTCCTTGTCTCTTTTGTCATCTCGGCGAGAATAATAATCCCAAGGTTTGGAGTTATCTATCATCGGAGGCCAAGGAGGAGGCACACCTCCAACCATGGGGGGAGGGTAAGCACCTGAAAACAAATAAGAGGGAAAGCTGGAGTTCATTTAAATAAAAATATGTAACGACAAATGGTGATTGTGCAAATGTATGCATCAACATGCATTTTCGTAGCGTTTGCCACATCTGTCACTGACAGCACCAGATTACATTGGTCTGTACCTTGAGGAAACGGATACGGAGGAACAGAGCGTCCATCATAACCTCCTGGATGGCTGCTTTGAAAACACACAGAAAGGAAACATTACTTCAGTGTGTATGTGTGTGCACGTGTTGTCTTTTTCACTGACGCAACGATTACTGTTCATATAGTCATATAGCATCAAATGGCATTGTTATGTTTCAATATATAGTCATCATACCTTTTCTCAAGTTTTAGAACTGAATGAAAACACATTAAAAAAACATGAGGCTGTGTTTCCTTAGACAGTAACCAAAGGTTGCACAGCTTGAATAACTATGTGTGTGTGTGTGTGTACTTTAAACTTTGCACCAAAAAAAAAAAAAAAAAAAAAAAAAAGGCCAAAGCAAACCTTTTATATAATGCCTATACAGTGTCACTGAATTGCAGGTCAGTGCCCCAGTGCACATGTTTGGGGTAGTACAAAGAAGTAAATGGACTTAAAGTGTGTGCACAGGTGTAAAATGCAGCTGAAAACACTTGTGAATACATGTCTATATTTATGTTATGTCAAGTTGTTTTCAAGCTATACATTATGATGTTGCACTAGCTTTAAAAACATCCATATTTAAAGTGCTAGAGTTGAACTGCAACTGTGTATATGTGTGTACAGACGCATTACCTGTCCATAGTGGGGATGATAGAAGGAGGAGGCCCACTAGTTGGTGGAGGAAAACTAGGAGGAGGGACAGTAATGGGCAACCCTACAAAGAAGCAGAAGGAGTGAAGAGAGGAAACATGCTGAAAATATTGCATAATGATAATAATGATAATAACGATAAACAGTAAACTGAACTTACTGGGTGGGGGGATGAGTGGAGGTGCAGTACTGACGTTTGGTGGCGGAGGGAGAAATGGCGGTGGGGGAATGTTTGGAGGAAGTGGTCCGGGAGGGAAGAATGTGGGAATCTTAGCAGGAGCGGGTTCAGCCTCTGATGTCGAGTGCTCAGAGATCACCTGCACAACAACAGAGAGGTGAGGAGGAACACAGAGAGAGCAAACATCACACAGTTTTAATGTCTGTCGACATACTAAAAACAGCTGACTGATGCTATCAGAAGTTGAGTTTGCCATACTCTGTAACCACAAAGCCTTCTAAAATCCTGAGGCGTAACCCAGTGTGCACCTCACTAGAAACATGTCAGGTGGACAAAGTGCCGAACTACTGTCAGTACTGTCGATTCCTCCCCTTTGCATTTCCAGTTACTTTTTCCCTGCTGTTTTTGAGTTCATCAGTGAGAAAATAACAATCACTGCTCAGTATAAGGAATACAATTCATAGAAGGACTCACAAATGTCAGCAAATTCCTGGAGGGAGATTGCTGAAACCATCCTAATGGATGTGAGGGAACGTACAAAGAAGAAAAAATGTTTGCCTCTAAAAATGAAAAACAAAAACCCACAACAAAGAGTGGGAATCCATGAAGGAAAAAAAGTCCAAGCATTTTATTTGTTTCTATCGGCTGGGTGTGCATATAAAACACTGGGGCGCGACCACAAGATAATTAACACACCAGCACGAGCATAAATGCCAACAACAATGCTGGCCACTTATGTAGGTTACATCATAAGCTACAAAAAGACTCCCCACAGAAATTTAAATCAGGCCTTATGTTCACTGTGAAAGACACATAAACAAACTATAACTGGCGGTTTTTCTTGTGAGTTTCTGTTTTTGCTTGTACCTGAATATTGTTGCCCTCTAGATTATGTCGGCGACGACCCTCAACTCTGCTGATAGTTGCCAACTGTCCACCAATCACATCGATTGTGCCGCTCGATTTCCTAAAAAAAAAAAAAAAAAAAAAAGACAATTTTTTAAAAAATGTACATTATGGTACCGAGCAGGATCCAAGGAAAATGAGCTCCAGCTACTTTCAAATGTACTACAGTCAAAAATAATGAGCAAATAAATTACAAGCCAAATTCACCAAAAAGTGTCAGTTTCTGTCAGGTAATTTAGTAAACCAGGGGTACGTATGGTTATTTATGCTGTTTTACCAGCATACATAACGACAGTACTCATTAACTATGGCAAAAACAACAACACTGAGATAAAGGCTACTTACCATGAATACTCACACTTTCTTCTTAAATTTAGAGATAAACACTATTAATTTAATTTTTACGTTAAATTATAAGTAAATTTGAATTTGCCAAGAAGTGATGTAGGACTTTTAGAGCATTACAACAACAAAATTTGGCACAATTATTGTTTTATTTCGATTATCTTGTTTTGATAAATCAGCAGAAGCCATCACTCTAACTGAAATTAAAATTCAATTAGCTGCAGAGCCACCATGACACCATCATATCTGCAACAATCAGCCAAAGTTTAGATCTAAAACTATTTGTAACTTTCTTTTTACGCTTGGTTAAATCAGCCTTTTGGGTCTCAGATAACAACTATAACACCATTAAAGAACACACTTAAGAAAATAGCGGTTTAAAAAGAGAAGACATCTTTAAATGGATTTTCCACCTATTTGTGTTGAAAGTATTTGTCATTTTTATTAGCTTTAACCTCCTAAGACCTGAACTCTTTCATGGCATGCATTTTCAATTTCTCTTTGCCATTTGGGCTGATTGGGACCCGATGAATGTAAAACAAAGAATTACCTGATTTTTGTTTATGAGAAAAATGAGATCCACAAATGAGGACACTTGTTTTAAATTTTGATAGAACAGTGGCAAGATAATGTCCCCGTAAGTGGATATCAGGCCCTTGTAGAGCACAATTTAGTATTTTTGTCTAGACAACCCAAAATGTGATGTCCACATACACCAGGTCCTAGGAGGTTTAGTTTAATTCTATATTTTAAAGTTAGTTTCTGATACTGTTACAATACAACTAAAATAAATATCATTATTAATGAAACTAATAACTTTTTTAATATGATATGAGAACCTCACATAGTTAACTGGCCTGCTGTTAGTATTTCTTCTCTTTTGCTTAAGCTGTAAAGCTACAAAGACACATGCAAGTCAACTACACAAACAGAAAGAAACAAGAATGAAAATCAAGCTGTCTTTGAGGCTTCAAAAGCACCCAGAGAAGCCCATTCCTTAAACATCTATGCATTTCCCATCAGGCGCCCTTAACCTCGGAGGGACAAGGCCATGCCCACTTACGTATAATAAGACATGTCCTGAGGAGGCGGGCCAGTCCACTGAGGGGGAGAGATCCTACCATTTTGAGACAAAGGACAGGGGTAATGAGAGTAACACACATAATAAAAACCATGGGAAGGCGCCTCATTTTAACCACAGGCACACTGGTGATTATTCTGGAAGTGGCCCAGTGTGTTTGTGTCTCCTTATGACCCAAGATGGTGCCTGCGAATGTTGGATTTAAAAACTGTTAACACAATAAACTGATGAAATTTTAACTTTCTTGTACCAAAACCATCAACAATTTACTCCTCGTCCTTCCGTTAAAGATGGCCAGTTAACTGTATGTGGTTGTTTTAAGCATCTTCATCCAACCCTCCCTAGCCCCATAACTGGATTATGTATTTCACTGTGCGCTTAACCTCTACTGAAAAACTGTAAGTGTGTTTCTCTACCAAATATTAAACATGTGAATGTAGAGGCAGGAGTCTTACCTGGTGACCTGACTGACAGCAGACTTATACAAGCTGACAGGAGATGTGAAGTCTGGCTTTGAGGTGTGAACTGGCAAACTGGGTATGTCTTTTTCATTACCAGTTCTGCCCTGCTGAACCTGGAAAAGAGCCACACAAAAAAATTCATGCATCTTCTGAAGGAGAACAAGGGTGCTGATTTTAAAGTAGATACGGTCAAGCAATGGTCATGCAGCAGTACACAAAATTCTAAATTTGTCATCGTGGTTTTGAAGTCACTGTGTAGCTGCATGTTTTTGGAAACACATTGGCTATATTTCTTACAATTAAAATTCAGATGCTGGTAGATTTCCAGGAAAATACCTAGATACAAAAATAACATGAAATAAATGTCTTTGTTCTTTCCCCTGTAGGTCAACTGACATCAAAGCATGTCACTGACTCTGGTTGCTACCACATTGCTAATCGCTTCCTGTGTGAACGCCCTGTAGAACCTGCCTCCTAAAAATGCAAGCCTTTACTCATTTATCTACATTACCACATGCTCTGCGTTGGTGGTTAACTGAACACAAAAGCTAAAACATGTAGTGAGGTCAGACAGCTTTCCCCTTTAAGTTATGTAGCCCTGTGACCTGTGTGGAACAGCTATGAAACATTTAGCCGTTAGATCTGCTAACGTTTAGGCATTTACACGTTGTATAAAGTGAAATAAAATGCTCAAAAAGAAACTGAGGGTTGGTGGAAGCAGGAGCTGAAGTACAAAAACAAACAAAGACAGAGCCAGCAGTGGTGCAGTGATATCTTACAGTGATCTTGCTTGTCACTGAGCCAACTGTAGAGACCTCCAGGCCCATACGCAGCCTCTTCTGTTTTTCACAGTAAGCCTTCCATGTGTCTTCATTGAAGCCATAGTTGAAGTAGTCTGACAGATCGGCTCCTACATAGAAAAAAAACAAAAAAAACAAAAACATGCACATTTTATGAAATTCTGTAAAAAAAAAATCAGATGTGCTCTGATTTTCTTTTTCTTTTCTTTTTTTTTTTTACTGAGGAGGAAATATGGATTTACAGATTTAGCTAAGACTGGATCCACGATGTCAACCTTGCAATTTTCAAAAAGGAAGGAATAGCAACCAGTTTCAAAAATTAATACCATATTTCTGTTGACTAACAATTATGGACTATGGAATGGAATTAGAGACACATGGTCATATTTGTGTACTAAACAGCAAACATCGTGCAACTTGCACACTGTAGTGTCTAAAATATTAAGAAAATCTCTACTACATTCTTGATGCAAAAGATAAAAGGAGCAGTGACTTCTGCTTGTCACAGACAGTGACATTAAGCAGATACAAAATGTAGACAATGGTCTGCAGAGCTGTGCATAGGACTAATGCACAACCACGCTAGTCATTTTAGGCTCTGATTAGAGGGTGTTAATGACCACAAAGCAAGAGTGCCTCCACCATGTAGCGTTTTGTTAAGGCTGGCAATACTTGGAAGACCAACCATGAGTCGTACAGCTACAGAAAGTGGAAAGATGATGGCTCCATAGACAAACACCACAGCAGGCTACTGTTTACAATCTTTTCATAGATTCACCTACGGAAATCTTGCAAGTTTTAATTCTTCTACCTAGATCTCGTAGACTCAATGTTTTCTTTCGGTCAGTTTAGCTGGAGCTGTTCTACTATAGAAGATTTTTTGGGAAGGGGGAACACTAGAGTAAAAAAAAAAAAAATTATGCGTTTGATTTCTAACACAATAAAAAGCATTTAAAAAGAGAGAGATCGGTAGTAAAAATGAAATCTGTAAGACATTTATTTTTTCTCCATATGATATAAAATGCTTATTTACTCACTTTTGGAGGCAGCCTTTGGCTTTTAAATATTTTGTCTATAAAAGCAAAGACACAGACACAAGCACACACGCACCTGGTTTCCTCCATGGTTTCTCTTCAAAAGACTCCATGTCCACCTCTAGCACTGGAACACCGTTAATGTTTCCAGGTGCATCGAGATCCACTCCCTTCAGCTTTGCGGAAACTGAAAATAAACAATACAACAAGTTACAAGATAACATTACAGTAATGAAACAGGCAAACTGTCTTTATTGTATGTTTTTATTCAGGGAAAAAGAGATTAAGCCAGTAGAGAACGACACCTTGTCCATAAGGTCTGGAGCCTGTTGATTTGATGTTGAGGTTGACAGGTGGGGCTCCATAAGTTCTGGGAGGAAAGCAACAGTATTAAGACACTGAATGAAACATCCCAACATAAACTTCAAATTACAATTACCATATTCACATTACCCTTTCAGTTTTTCAGCAAATTGATTTATTTAGCTGTTGATAGCTCACTTGAACTTGTGTGTTCACTGAAGCATCCTGTTTTATAAGTGGATCAAAAAGTCCATTAACTCCGTCATGACAAAGCATTAAGAAGCTTGTAGTACAAACAGCTAGTGTTGACTCACTCATTAGGATTCCATATCAAGTCATTATGACATTTGAGATTCTTCCTGGCAGATCCTCTCAGGAGGAGCTTACAGATCTCTTCACAAATGTTCAATTGGGATCTCTGTTTATTTCAGAGACTCAAGGACAGTCAGAATTTTCCTGAAGCGACTTCACGTTCGTAGTTTCCTTACATTTACTGTGGCACTGATAGTCTAATCTAAAGTTGCTGCGTTGTGAGGTTTGCTGCGAGGTTCTTTTTGAAATATTTATTTGTTAAATTCTAAATAGTTTTCCTGCTCCTGAGAAGCACCCCACAGAGCACGATGCTGACACCACCATGCTACATCACAAGGAAGGTACAAGCAAGGTGATGAGCCATCTCCGAATCAGAAACCTCACCCAGCAGCTTTTATATAAACCAGCCACAAACTGTAAAAATATGTACAACAACACAATTTGCCTCAAACGTACGTGTACTGTGGCGCTCCGGTTTTTATGTCTCCAATCGTGACACGGACATCATCGTCGTCATCATCGCTGTCGCTGTCGCTCTCCACATCCTCGCCTGCAGCCTCACCTGTGGCCTGAAAATCCAGAAGTAAAAACAACACAAGAAACATTCATTGAGTTGGAAATAAGTTTGTAATAAAAAGAAACAAAAATTATTGAAACTGTGCATGTAAGCTACACACCTCAGAGGCAACGCCATTTCCTGTAGCGTGCGCAGCAGCATCATCTGTTGAAGCATCAGCAGGGGCACTGAAAAAAAACATTAGACACAACAGACCAAATATAAAATTTATTCTCAGTCCAAAGTTTCTGGGTCCAAAATCTCACAAAGTTTTTCACCTGGGTGGAGATCTGGTGACTGAAGGCCACAACACCTGATTTACATCATTTTCATACTCTTTAAACTATTCAGTCATCAGAGCACTGACATCCTAACAGAGGACATTCTAATAAGGAAGAAAATTTTAATCAAAGGATAACTTATTATCACTATACTATACACTATATTTACTTGCAGTGACCCTTATCTTAAAGAAAACAAGTATTAGAAAAACAAAACATGCCACCAAAATGTCACTTAAAACAAAGCTGCCACAGCATGACCTCACTGTAGAGTTCAAGGTGTTACATTTTGTCCTATTATCTATCTGTATGTTTAAAAAAAAATTAAAAAATAGGAGAAAATTATGTTTCAAAAGACTATTAGTTTGTATTTAAGTCTCCCTTAGTAGCTTTTAATTAAACTAGATATGTACACATACTCATGTGATCTGCTGCCTTTTTTGTTTTGGTTTTTTTAATATGTTTAACCACTTTTGTTATTCAAATTTAAGCACATAATGTAACTGTAAGATGTCTGTATGTTAGGTGGAGCCCAAGTGATGATATATCAGTAAGCCAAAATTATTTTTGGCCTGTCACAGATATGTTCGATAAATCTGTCCAAGGCTGGGTATAATTTAATAATGGTGTCATTATAAAGCATTCACTATGAGCCAGAGGTACCTTTACTAAACAAGATTAGATTAAATTACACTAATTTTATTCTTTGTGCTGCTGCTGTAACAGAGTTTCCCCCTGTAGGATCAATGAATCTATGACAGCAGCAATAGTGCCATCAGCATCTGCAGCACATGTAGCAGAGTATAAATGAAGAGATGATGTGTAGCTTTAATGACTGACAAACAACATCCTCATAATTTTCTCTTTTCAATAATATTCTAACATACTAGATGTAAAGCAATCAATTTTCCCATACAACCATTTCTAGGGTTTACAGAGAATGGACTTGGGAAAATAAAGAAAGAAAAACTATCCAGTTCTCTCAATGCCAAAGGTCAAAGGTAAATGGTCAGGTTGATTCAAGCTGAGGACGGCAGCAGTAGATCATATAACCAAATAACCAACCAAAGAATTGGTTTCTGCTGCAACATTCAGATGGTAGGCACGACTATCATGACAGCATTGACAAATCCTGCCTTGTAGCTGCCACTTAGCATTGTTAGTGATGTAATGGAGTGGGAGATATTTTTAGTTTGGCTCCCATAACACCAACTGCGCATTATTTAAACACCATATTCTACCTGAGGTTCTCAGGTAGGATACAGCCTACCTATATCTGATCAGATTCTCATGGATGTACAGCGATTCATCAGTAGCAACTGTGTGATGTCATGAAGTCAACATGGACCAAAATCTCAGATGAATTCATCCATCACCTTGCTGAATCTACGCCACAAAGAATTAAAGCAGTTCTGACAGCAAAAGGCGATCCAACCTAGTTACTTGCAAGGTGCAGCTAATAAAGTGACCTCTGAGTGTCTATTAATAGTGCCTTTTGTCCCTCCCCAGGGATACAGCATCAGCTGAAATCCACCTCAATAAATCTAAAAATTTAAATACTTCTAGAGTTCATGAGAAGTGATAGCTGTACTGAACTATATTACCTTTGCTAGTTACTTTGCCAACGCTCGTTGACCCTGAAATGTGTTACACACAGAGGGTTTTTGTTTTAAATCCAGGCTAAGATTGAATTATAGTTACCTGACAGCAGCGTTCAGCTTGGCTTCCTCATCCTCGTCTTTGCTCTCCGACTCATCTGGAATAGAAATTAAAAGCAACTGAGTTCATTTATCGTTATCTAATATATATTTAACTAAAGTTTTGTTTTAAAACTAACAAGGTGAGCTGCAGAAAATACATACGCCACTTCATAGTCCAGTTAAACGTTATAACAAGCCAGAGTAACACTCAAATGATTTGACTCGAGCGGTGCAGCCACAACAGGCCGACCAAAAACCCGCTGCTAGCTTAGCTTCCAGGCTAACGCTCGTGATTAACGGGATAGCGCACAGTGATATCTGTTGGTTAGCAGTTAATTAGGAACATAGCGAGAGAGATCGTGTTCCACGTCTCTGTCGGTTCGAAGGAACCGTTTCTGTGGACGTCAGGTGGTTGTTTTTACCTCCATACAGCCATTCCTCCTCCTCGTCTCCGGCGCTGGCATCAGTGGTGGCTGTTTTGTCCGCTTCCTCCGCAGACATGTTCAACTTACACGGAGAGCTAAACCAGCAGCGGCTTCAACAGCTACAAGCTTCAATAAAGCTCACAGGTCCAAAAATAACAGTACAACTTCTCCCTTTATCGGGGAAACGTGGTTATGTACATAAATTATGTCTTCATAGGTTCATTTCCAACCTTTGCGAGTCGGAGTGAACCCGGAAGAGATTGGTGGCACCCCGCTAATGTCAAGAGTGATAGGAGAAAACACAGCGCCCCCAGCGGGCAGAATAAAGGCTCCTTTTTTTATGTCGCTTTTTTTTTTAAATACGTGAACAGTGAAAGAAAATCTAAAATTCAGTAACAGGAATGATGGCGGTTTAACTTTCAGGAGAATTAAATAAAACGTTATTTTGTGCTGTGACAATTAGTTCGATTATTTTTCAAAGTAACCACCAAATGCATGATAAAAGTGCTTCTTCAATCTCTTTTCCAGCTCTGCTTTTCTTTTAGGAGAAAGTGAAACTTTGCTATGATAAACTTTATTACTCAGTACAACCTGAAGGGCATTTAAAGCTCTTCTGCTGATGTTGGCTGCCTTTTTATTCTGTTCTCCGAGGTTTGGGTTCTGGGGAGGCCAATCCATGACTGATCATGATCCTTCTGTGTTTTTGAATCCAGGTATACTGTTACTGCGTTGGCACTGTACTTGGGATCATCGTTATTATGAGAAATGAAGCCGATGCCAGTCAGACAGACAGAGCCTCCATCATGTTTTATAGTTGGCCCTAGAGACTCACTGCTGTACGCTCTCTCCTGACCTCCTCTGTACATAGTGAGAATTCCAATCAAAATTTTCAAATTTGGATTCATCACTCCAAAAGATCTGTTGCCACTAATTTTCAGTCCAGTTCTCATGTAATCTGGTATACCCCAGCCTTTTGTCCCTGTTTCTCTTCCCTTCCTTCACTAAGAAAGGCTTCTTGCTATCCGCCCTTCCACTGAGAACATTTCTGAAGAGGCCAGATGTAACTCTTAGCTCCTGGGTCTGTTCTTTGTGAGATTTTCTTCTAGTTCTTAAGGACATGGTGTTCGGATACTGTTCATCTGCTGTAGAGAGTTTTTTAGGCCTGCCACTTATTCCACTTATTATTTTTTTACTGTTTTATTCCAGTTTCCTCAAATGGTTTTAATGGATACCCTGCACATATCCTGAGTTATGTCAAGTTTTTCGCTCCGCAGTCTAGACTCTCGTGGTGGTGAAGATAAGATGGAGGCTTGGATGAGTGGTTTGCATGAGGCGGAATTGGGGAGGAGGTGGGTTGCATGAAGGAGTCTGCAAGGAAGAATGAAAGATGCCCAGTGCGATGTAAAGTACATAGAGTGGAGGCTGATTGGTAGAAAGATGACTGGACTAAAGCAATGATGTCAGCATTGAGTTTTACAGCGTGGGAAAATGGAAGTGATGTAAAGAATAGACTGACAGCCAACCACGTAGGAAAGCAGACAGATGAGTCAATACTAATCTTCCTTATTGAACCTACATACTTGCGCTTCATAAATGGGAACAAATTTTGTGGTTTTTGACAGGCTTCAAGTTACCAAAGTGCCAAAGCATACGGCTTATTATCTGATCTTAGCTTCTCTGTGAAGATTTCGTTATGTGTTGACAACACATTTACCTGATAAAGGTCAGACACAAAGACTGGACTGAATATTGGTGAAAAAGCAGCCAATGTCCACAGAAACCCCCCGGAAAGCGCAGTGGTGAACAAAAGTATTGAACAACACCACTTTAAAGAATAAGAAGGAAGTCTGGCACCTTGGAAGCAAACATTTACAAAACTTGGGTTGGCATAAGACTTGTGCAATGTGCTTTACATTTTTCATCTTATTAAAGAAAGTATAAGTGTTATTATTGATTGAAACCCTGGTAGCAAATTTTCTCATATTCCTATCTCCACAAGCATTGGGGAAAATGAAGCCCCTCAGGGCCTCACCACATGCGAAGCATAGCAGAGCAGGATAAGCACATGTCCAGATGATTTAAAAAACCACTGTGTACTCCATTTAGCTGAGCGAGTTTCAAGCTCCTTGTCCTGCACGAAGGCTCAGTGTCACGTCTTACCATGGTGCTTTCATCGTTCATTAAATTAGCTCCCCCCTGCACTTATGCTGTAAATGATCAAAGTGCCTGATCTGTTTAAGAAAGTTGTGTCTAGTCTGAAGGCAGTACAGCCAGTGGCCTGGGGCACACACTGTACCTCATGTAAAAGGCCATGTAGACGCTTCAGCCTCCCATTTGTTTGCATTACCGCCTGGTAAATTGACATAAATAAATCTACTTTTGTTTTTAGTATATCATGGGATGCCACACTTAATATAGTGTAATGTGTTTTCAGCTGAACTATTCAGTCCTTCGAAATGTTTTTATGTTTCTCATAATCTGTTGGCTTCTGTTTATCCATGGAAAAATGTGTAGCCAGAGGTAAAGGTGGTACTGGCTTCCACTGAAATATGTTTAGACCTTTATTATTTTGAAGATTTGAATATATAAGCCAACTAATGTATTACACAGTTTTATTATAAATAAAGTTATACACTTCTAAGGATACCTTTTACCTACAAAAAGCCAGGTAAGCACCCCTGAATATATTTTACAAAAGTGCATGGACATGTAGATATTCTTTGTGAAGATGAGCACTCTTCCATTTGTAGAACAGCCTCCACTCTTTTGGAAATGTTTCTGCAAGACTGTAGAATCTCACTGCAGGAGTTTGCTCCCATTCAGACATTCAGCAAGGCTGAATGTTCAGCTTATACTACTTTGATATGCTGCAAAAATGAATAAAGATAGCAGCTATACCAAAGTATTTCAAAGACTATTCTGGACAGTAAGTTGTTCATGCATTTCCCTGCCTCTAGCTGGCTTTGATAGAAGTGAAACTTCACTGGACAAGGTAATCATAAAAAACTAAAACACAAAGAAGTTGTGAGGGCAAAATTGCAGCTTTTCCAAGGACAATGCTAGTTTTACAGCTAAGCCATCTCTGGAACAGCAGTAGAAGCAACTAAGTACATTTCCTTATGCAGGCTACTTCAATAAAGCACAATTTTAACGTTATTATTTCTTAGTTTTGGGCTATTTTATCTGTATTCTTTATTTTTTGGTTTATAGCAAGTAAGTTGTTACTAATGCAAATTATAAGCAATAAATAAATGATGTTAAACAATGTTATGTGTAAGCCAGAGGTTCTAAAAACACAAGAGCTATTCACCAAAGCCAATGTACTATATTGTAATTTTAAGAAAAGTAAACCAGATTCACAACAAAATTTATTGAGGTATTTCTCTGGTCGCTATCCACTTCTCCACCAGGTTTCATGAAGTTCAGCTGGGTGGTTTTTGTGTAATCTTGCCGACAAACAAATGTCACTAGAAACATACCTCCACATCAGCTCCTTCCTTAGAAAAGGAATAAAGACTTAAACTTTGCCTCTCTCAAAGAGCTTTTATAAGTTTATAACCTCAAGAAGCAGCTGCAGACTCATCAGCAGCAAAATGACTTCTCATGATTGCTGTTGTGGTTGTTTGCACAAGAAGTTGCCTGCTAATGCAAAGAAAACTCTTAATGCATTTATGGCCTCTGACCAGTTAAGTGGAGCCACTTTAGCTTTGTCAGTAAAGGACAAGGAAATCTGTGGATTCTCTCACTCTCCCTCAGTTTTTACAGTGGAAATTACACAGAGGCGTGGCCTGAGTTCTGACACTCACTGGTTTATCTGAGGCTGAAATGAAATTAATTTTTATGTAGTGCGTGCTCTCTCTCACAGGGAGTGTGAAAAATGGGATGGTAACACTATAGTTGTGATTATATTGATTTTTTCCCCCCCATACCGTATGTGAGAACCACACAGGGGTTCATATCACGGGAATCTACTGTATCACATCATATGTGTGGGCTTTTGTGTGGCTCCCCCAAGTTTACGGTGTATTCACACACACACCACACAAACACACACACACACACGTACAGGGACTAATGGTCTCAAACTTAAACTGATCATGGAAATTGCATTTATTTCATTCACTCTCTCTCCCTCTCACACGTCTCTCTTCCAGTCTGTTACTCCTCTGTGTTTTCTGATCACATTCCCTCCCTTTGTTTCCTTTATACCCCCACCTACTTTTCACGCTCTTTTCTCCCTTTTCTCTTTTCCCTTCCATTTACTCAAGAGCTATTTCAAGTCAAATTTACTTAACTGAGATGACCGTAATTAGATAAAGTCTTGCAAAGCATCTTTTGAGACGAAAAGACAACAAAGCAGCTTTTAAACTAGAAAAGCACATCTTCCCCGAGGTTCAGTGCCAGGGTCCTGTTTCTTGAGAGAAAGGATACAGATCTAACAGTCTGCTCCTCTGCCATTCCCACCTGTCCATCTGTTCATTAACTTTAGCTTCGTGGTTTTTGTGTAATCTTGCTGATAGACAGTGTTAATCACATACCACCAACTTAATTCTCACCTTGCCACTCTCAAGGTAAACCCTGCTTCAGCATTTACAGGTGCCATCAAAGACCTGGGCCTTTTTTTCTTACAGACTTACAAACTTATTCTGGTAACCGGGCATGGATCTCTGTGTTTTTCTGCTTAAGTAGCTGCCCCTGTGACCCGATAAACTTACAAACTGGACTTTATTATGCAGCCAGAGGAGGAGGAGTCAGCACTTAGACACTTTGCATTTCAGCTTCTACCTACAGTCTGTGCATACAACAACCATGCACAGAGATCTGCAGAATATAATGAAAATTAAAGACAAAAAAAAAATTTTGCAAACCGAGCAGGAACATGATTTAAAATAAAATGTGGTTGAACTCTCGGATGCAATGGCAAAGGTCAAAACCACAGTGGAAGGAGATAAAAGCGGTTTGGAGGGAGTTCAGTTTGCTGTGCTGTTGCCTGTTTTTCCTGCGGGCAGTGATCTGCTTTGACACACTGTGCAGCTTCTCTTCGCCTGTTTTTTCCTCTGCCTTCTCTCTCCTCTCTCTCTGTCTTGTTCCTGTCTGCTTTTCATCCTCTTGCACCTTGTTTATCTTTATTTCCCTTTCTCCCCTTCACCCTATGTGCCACCCTGTCTCTCTCTGAGTTTCCTCCCTCCCTGCATCCATCCCTCTCTCCTTACGGTGGATTAGAGAGGCTTACAGCCTAGTCGATCCTAATCGGGTTTATCCAAGCAGAGGGCGATCGTT